AAAAAATCTTTCATTCCTTTAGAGACAGCATGAAAGGTCAGCTGAGTACAAAACATAGAGAGGAAAACAAGAAGAAAAGGGACAAGAAGAGAGGGACACAACCTAGATCAGATCATGGATGTCTATTCTATTAACATTTCTCTATCTGTAGAATGGGTCCGTTTGATGTGATGTCTTTCTCAATTCAGAGGGCCCCCTGCCTGTCTTTGCCTAGGACCCCACATTTCCTCAATCCATCCCTGGCTAGGTCAGATCCATTAAACATGGAAACACTTGATATCTGCTAATTAAACAATGTTTTATTCCTCAATTGTTAAATTAAAAAGGCTATTTTAAAGATATTGTTCAGTACAAAAATAAAAAAAAATCAGTTGAAAGTATTAACATTCAGTAACATATTTTATGAAAAAATTTAACTAATATTTTCAGAAAATGAAATGTGATAATGTTAAAACATTACATATTTAAACAAAAACTATTTCTATTCTAAATAAAAAGATAACTTTTTAAGTACTCGTTTCTTGATATCTGATAAGTGTTTGGTTTCTCCAAAAAAGTAAACAAACAAACAAAACAAAACACACTGGACTTTGTTACCAAGCTTGAAGACGTTTTGTTTCCCATCAAGGAAGTTTTTTTAATTTCAAAATGTCAGAATTAGAGTTGATTAGTGTTTGGCTTAGAAAACATGCAAAATGATAGCGGGAAGGAATCCACTCTATCGCTGCATTGTAGGTTTTTGAGAGAATCTGAGTCCAGCCCCTCTGTTTAAGGCTGTTTTTCTTTCTTAACATAAATAGTTCCTTCACATCCCTTTCAAACCAACTGTCTTCTTTGTCCAAAATTGTCCCTTTTCCTTAACCCTTTATAGGGCAAGTTACTGTTTTTGATCACTTGAGTCCAACCCCTGCCGTCCCTCAGTGAAATATAGAAGCACAAGATCTATATCCAGCCATTCAGTAAAGATTCTGCTACATGGCTGTACATCTGATTTTGGCATTTGACCAATTAGAGGAGCCCTTTAATGATATATTACCTACTGGAAATGAAGTTGAAAAAAAGTAAAGTCAAGGAAAAAAAAGGTAAAAAGCTAATTGAAAAGTTAAAAGTTAATAAACCTAGTTAATAATTATATTTAGGTTTATAAAGTAATGCCAGTTCCAGTTGCCTCTAAGGTTATATTGGAGAAAAAAAAAATTTGTTTCTTTTACTCTCAGTGTGTTTTTCATGAATTTCTTATAGAAGCACTTTAGTTATTTTTCTTAATATATTCGGGCAAGTTGGAATTTCTTCTTATTATATTGACATTAATTTTTGTCATCAAAATATCAATTTTTAAGGTTACAAAGGTAATAATGTCTTGTCCTGGATTCCATTAACACTGTTGGCTTGAAATTTTAATTTTCCAAGTATTTCACTGAGTGCCCTATAAAGGGTTAAGGTGCAAATGAACAGCAGAATCCTGTCCACCCCATGCAGGGGACAAAACATCTCACCTGGGCAGCCAAGCCAACAATTGTCCTTTAAAAAAAAACCTTCTGAGGCATAGACCAGTATCGGGTATTGCACGCTAAAAAAGAACACAAAACAACTCCCTATTCCTAAGGGGCGGACCCCTTCTTCTGTTTCAATTTGCATGTTTTCTAAGCCAAAACCAGTTTCTGGAGTATTATATAAAGCTTCAAACTCAACTCCATTTCTGACATTTTGAATTGAAAAAGCTTCCTGGATGGGAAGCGAAACATCTTCAAACTTGGAAACAAAGTCCTGTGGACTGTTTTTTAACTTTTTTGGAACGACTATGACCTGGATGACTGAGGATCTGTGCCATCAAGTTCTTGGTTTATTTCTAAATCCAGATAAAAGTGATCAAAGCTAATCAAAGAGCATTTTTTCCAGTTTGTTCTGGATGGGTAATTTAGCTCAGGCTGCTGGGGTCTCACCAGGGAACGGTGCATTTAGAGCCGTGTCGGCTCTCTGCAAGCTTCTGGATTTTGAGAATTCGCTCCGCTTGGATCTGGTACAAAGTTTTCCCGCTCGGCAGCCCGACGTCATACATCCCTTTGGGATACTGAACTCCAAGCCGCGTCCCCTGACCTCCAGCCAAGAGCAGAACCGCAACACGATTCCTGGAAATCTGCAGGAATCCTGTTCAGAGAGAGAGGATGAATGTCAGTGGTTTTATAGATTGGTTTCATTTTTATACTTTTTTTTAATACAGACATGTCTGCTCCAACCTTAGTTTTTTCTACATAATTTATCTTCCTTAAAGTTAAATATTTCAATATTTCTTATTCTTTTTCCTCTCACTTT